CTTGCCCAACAGGGAATCCCTGCGGATATTAGTCATTCTCACCGTACGCAGTAAAGCAGGGCAAGTTGACGAAGCGCTCGACTCGCCATGCAAAGTGAATTGCCATCCGTCCCAACGACAAACCCGAAAAGATCTGCCATCTTTGCCGAGGCCGATCAGAACAGATGTCATGGTGCCAACGAGGAAATTAGAACTGAGATTAACCGCTGTAATAATTGTCAATGCTAATGATCGTTTGCGACTCAAATCAAACCACACAAATACAAATGTACAGAAAAACCTTCAGGGTGCATGGATACCTGACAATACATTTGAGTCGATGAAGTTGAGTGTGGTTGCAAACATTTCTTTGTTTATTTGATTCCGATAGAAAGAGAGAAAGTAAGGGAGTGAGTCAAGATGGCTACCACCCACCAAGAAAAGTGAATGCAAGGTGTGTCTAAGAATAGGAAATGGAATTGAAAGCCCGGAGAAATTTGGCGACAGATTTAAGATGGTGCTTAGTTTTTCTGTTGAGTTATTTCCACCCAGACAGATAACAGCTCCAAGGAGCGAAGGTCTTCCAGACACCACAAATATATTGTTTTTACCACTTTAAAAAAAAAAAACACATTACGGATTTCTTTTTTTAAAGTTTGTCTCATCCTTCTCCTGCTTTCCGAGAATTCTCTCCACTACTATAGGCACCCTTCAGTTTCTCTCGACAATGTAATTCTATCTCTTCCCCTTTTTTTAAGGTCGGTCTCTCTCTCTCTCTCTCTCTCTCTCTCTCTCTCTCTCTCTCTCTCTCTCTCTCTCAATATATACATACATACACACACACATGATGGCGGGGGGCTGCTGTTAAGTCTGTCAGTCCGTCATTTATCTGTCCTCTGTTACGGTAGCTCTATGACAATCATTCATCTGCTGTGCAATCATCATTCAAGCCTATCAATACATACTGCTGAGAATATGTCGGCTGTATCTTCATGCAGAGTCACAACATAACAAAACAAGCACGTAATCGCCTGCGATGCTCACCTGGAGGTTTCTGTTGCCGCTGGCTCTCATTCTCAATCACTCCACGATAGAGCTTTCTCGACCACATCACATATCTATCTCTGTTTTCCACCGTTAGTTTGAATTATTCACATCAATGCCATTACTGGGAACACTTGCGAGCCCCCCCCCCCCTTACAATCTAAGCCCACCCATGAAAGGCCATCAGGATAAGATAAGGTGTTCTGCTAAGATGGGGCGCGGGCCACATTTTCTGGGTTTTTTTTACAAGTGGATCTACTCTGGGAGGTGAATTATTGACAACATCCAGGGTGGGACAGAGTGCACTGATAATTTGTGAGATTTTAAGCTCTCATGCTGAAAGACGAATGCCCACGAGTTTCACATTTCACGGCAGTGGGAGTGAGCTGCGTCACTCAGCATCCTTCCTGCTTAAATGGCTAATGACGGAATGCAATACTGAGTCAAGACTGACAAATAGTCTATTAATAACATCGATCTCCCCTTGGTGGATTCCAGCACATTTGTGCATTACTGTATTACCCCCCCCCCCCTGACATTTTGGAACGAACACAAAAGCTCCACTGCGCATCCGCCATACAGTTTTCTACGTTCTTTCTTGAGAAAACCGTACAGTGTAACCTCAGAGATGGAGCCAACCCATTTTGGAATGGCGGTTGACCAGAGAAATGTTCATATTTTCAAACGTGTTTTTCCTGTAGAGAAAAAAGAGAAACCGAAACATTTTCATAGTTAAACTGTCACCATCATAAAACTTTTATTACAGGTGTAAAAGATTTTTTTTTTCAAGTAGCGTACAGTATTTGACTCTGGAGTGTCAAATTTACAAGGCATTTTTATTTTTACTTGACAGGGACTTGAATAAGCGGCCCAAAAAAAAAAAACACTCTCCTCTGGTGAGACATGATGCAAGGCAGCAGTTTATCCTTTTATAATGTTGGAGTAAAGCCAAAGAAAAATCATCCCTTTAATTTACAGGCATACAACTCGATAAAGTATTCAGTCAATGGCAGCTGTCGGTACCAAGTGGCTGTCTCCCCTCCACTCCTCATTCCGTCCACCTCGAAAATGTCTCAACTGCGGCCTCCTGGTGACAGAGCTGAGGCAGCAACCCGACTCCAACTCACCACTCGGTTACGCGATATCTTTGTCATTTATCTAAATCCCACAAATCAATTACAGCACGCCAGATGCCAGGGTGAAGGATTTTATTCGCCCCCTCAAGGCGCTTGCACAAGGCCTATTGCGGCACTGAGGATTATAGATGAAGCAAAATCCGACAATTCTTCGGTTTAACATTTTATGAAGATGAGCAACTGCGCATTTCGGTGTTTATTTAGCTCACTATTCTGAACCAAGATGCAGTTTGTTCAAGGCGCACGTGCCAAAACCTTCGATCCCACCTGAGGACTGTCTCAACAATTCTGACCATACAAAGCTAGCCATGCCCGTTTGATGAGTTAATTTGTTTGGTTTTATTTTGCTTAGTACTGTACTGTAATCCCTCGCCACTTTGCACTTCAGCATTTCTTGTGGGGGGACCCGACCTGTCCGTCATCATTTAGATGAGTGTGGCCTAATCATCAATTACGTTGGTGCAGATGTAACCTGTTCTGCGGTCACACTCGACGGGTGCTGTTAACACACAAGTGACACCTCAAAGTCTATTTCCAGGGAAGCGCTGGCCGGCCGTGAGTTCCTGAGAAGCGATAAGCCGAACTGTATCTGTCTGCACACATTGGTCTGAATGTTCCTTTGTTATCGCCGCACAGATAACTCCAACGGGAGTTACGTGGGAGGGGAAAGAGGGGAAATGCTGGGTCAGAGTACATGGAGTACATATCTCAAACCATAGAATGGGTGACCTTTTGATTTCTCATATGTCACCGCAAACCTAAGATGACATTGGATCAGTCAATATCCGTGTGCTCCTTGACATTTTGGGTCATAATCCGACCAAAAGGGGGCTGGGGGGGGGGGGGGCTTAAAAATAGCGGTGATAGAAACAGACTGGGCCGAGAGGACTATTCTGCTTTGGTGTAAAAACACACATTCATTCTATAAAATCATGATACCAAATGACTTCATGCATTCTCAAGTATGGGACTTTCCATCAGAGAAAAAGCCTTTCCTGCACAGAGCCATTTGTAAAATGGACGTTTTTTTGGGGGTGGGGGGGCTCTGAATGCTGATGTGTGTGATGGAAATGATATTGTTACGTTAGAGGCAGCTGGACCCAAATGCAGGCACCGCAGCAGGCGCAATGCCGGCAGAAACATGCTTTTCCAAAGCATGTTTCTGTTCAGGGTCAGAAATAAACTTTGGGTAAGAGGAGTTTAGTACCCTTTGGAATGCTCACTTGCTGAGGCGCAAGGTTGTGCCAGACATCGCCATTCACACTAAAAATCAGACGTACAGCCAATTTTTGTCTTCATTTCAATACACTGCAAACGCTTTTGGACTGTTGGGAGGGGAGGTGGGAGAACTTTGAAAGAACCCCAGAGCAGGCAAGTTTCACACAGCAAGGCCCACATCGATATTCAAAACCGCAATCCAAGTAATTTGTGCCCTGCCAGCTGTGACCCCGGTTCGGGCTCCTGCACGCTTGTGTCGATCCACGCAAAGTTCACTCACGCCTGAATGAATATGATGAGACCAACGTGTTTTAAACATTTTGAGTTTCAGCCAGTTTCAACAGGTTAAATATATCCATCAGAAATGGCTTGAACGAGATAAGAGAGCCCAGAAAATGTCAGGCAGCAGTACACTCCATTCAGCAAAAAACAGAAGGCAGACGTGGCCGTGTGCGGAATTCGGTCCCGTGCTGACAGACTTTTCCCAAAGACTACCGGAATTTGTTCGCAAATTTCCAGTTCGGTCACGTGTGTGTGAGGCATGCCTTGGTCTTCTCTGATACCAAATGACTTCATGCATTCTCAAGTATGGGACTTTCCATCAGAGAAAAAGCCTTTCCTGCACAGAGCCATTTGTAAAATGGACGTTTTTTTGGGGGTGGGGGGGCTCTGAATGCTGATGTGTGTGATGGAAATGATATTGTTGCGTTAGAGGCAGCTGGACCCAAATGCAGGCGCCGCAGCAGGCGCAATGCTGGCAGAAACATGCTTTGGAAAAGCAAGTTTCTGTTCAGGGTCAGAAATAAACTTTGGGTAAGAGGAGTTTAGTACCCTTTGGAATGCTCACTTGCTGAGGCGCAAGGTTGTGCCAGGCATCGCCATTCACACTAAAAATCAGACGTACAGCCAATTTTTGTCTTCATTTCAATACACTGCAAACGCTTTTGGACTGTTGGGAGGGGAGGTGGGAGAACTTTGAAAGAACCCCAGAGCAGGCAAGTTTCACACAGCAAGGCCCACATCGATATTCAAAACCGCAATCCAAGTAATTTGTGCCCTGCCAGCTGTGACCCCGGTTCGGGCTCCTGCACGCTTGTGTCGATCCACGCAAAGTTCACTCACGCCTGAATGAATATGATGAGACCAACGTGTTTTAAACATTTTGAGTTTCAGCCAGTTTCAACAGGTTAAATATATCCATCAGAAATGGCTTGAACGAGATAAGAGAGCCCAGAAAATGTCAGGCAGCAGTACACTCCATTCAGCAAAAAACAGAAGGCAGACGTGGCCGTGTGCGGAATTCGGTCCCGTGCTGACAGACTTTTCCCAAAGACTACCGGAATTTGTTCGCAAATTTCCAGTTCGGTCACGTGTGTGTGAGGCATGCCTTGGTCTTCTCTGATTACAGCAGAAAATTCCACTGGTGTTGATAAATATGTTCCTTCGTCATTTATCTCGAGCCAAGGCCACCTTCCCTCCCTCGTTGCCCTCCCGGGGGCGGGGCGTTCGTTTCACTCAGTGCTTTCCACAAATTGCCTTATTTTCTTTTATAGGTGGATAACATCTAACGTTTTGTGGATTGCTGAAGATGACTGAAGGCATGTTGTTCTTTATTTGCTGCAGGATCCCGATGAAGATGAAAACCTGCGGCATCCTGGCCCGCCCCATTGCCAGCAGCAACATAGTTTTGTCCAGGAACATTTTCAGGCACAGTACAAGTGAGTCGTCATGCTTCTTTTAATCCTGGCCATTTGAAATTTACGACATTGCAATGTCGATTAAAAAAAAAAAAAAAAATGTGATTCAGCGTCAGCCCTAATCAAGATTGTCAACAGGAACACTTAATTGTCAAGGTTTTACAACCCCTTAATTCCTCAACAACCTTGATCAAAAAGTCACCTTCCACTCTCTCCCACAATTCTGTAACATATCAATTATTTGCACTTTCCTTTTAGCAATATTATGACAATGCTGACCTTCTTGGAGTACTTTCCGTTGCACTATGGAGAGCCCACTTAAGCGCGGATCCTTCATTTACACCATGGGGGGCTGATAGCGATGCAACACAGTAAAACCAAAGGATGTACTCTCGAGGAAAATTACTTTTTAAAAGGTGCCCCCCCCC